GGGGGGATGACCCCGCCCTGCGGGTCTGCTGCCTGTGCCCGGGGCTGCCCCAGAGCCCCCGGGTGCAGGAGGGGGTTCACAGCTCTCCCCTCCCTGCTGCAGCCCCTGGGGTTGGGTCCGAGCCCCCCTGTGTCAGCCCCCAGCCGCACTTCTGCTCGAGCAGGTTGTCCTGGTGCCGCGGGGCACAGAGAGCCCGGTACCCGGGGCTGCCTTTGCAGCACTTGCAGTTGGGGAGCTCCCTTGAGAGGCGTTTCAGAGGGCATAGTTCTTAAGTTTGAGTGAGCTGGAGACATGAAAAGACCTGTAAGTAGCAGGCTCCCTGCAGGATTTGGGCTGTGGTCCCTGGTTGGAAGCTCCTGCTCGGGGCTGGTGGGAGGAGAGACTTGGAGATGCTGGTGACCAGGGCACTTGGGGTGCAAGGGCTTGGAGGTGGGAATCTTTGTCCTTTCCCAGTGCAGTTCCCTCCTGTGGCTTCTCGGGTGAATCTCATGTGCCTTTTTCATTAGGGCAGTGGTTCCCAGAGCAGGTTCCTGATGGGCTGCAGGGAAAACCAGGGAGGGGGCTGCCATCAGCCCGTGGAGGGAAAGGCTTGCTTAGGGCTCTGGCTCAGGTTGGAGGGTTATTGCTGCTGTTGCTGGGGACACAGGTTGCACACCCAGGAGCCTGGGGGCTCCAGGACCCCCAGGTACTCCCCCTCTGTGAGGGCAGAGAGCAGGAAGTCAAGGCTCCAGCAGCAGCAAGAGTGGCTGCTCCCTCATCCCTTCACTGTCTCCTGGGTGAAGTGTGTGCCTGCAGGCATGGGAGGTAGCCTGGAGGGTCTTGCCTTGGGCACTGGAGGTCGGGGCTCTGGTGGTACAAGGTGCAGCAGCTTTGGACATACAGAAAAGTGACAGTGGCAGCTGGTGTGGCAGGCTCAGTCAGTAGCCTCCCAGCCTCCCAATGTATTTTCCTCTGTGCTTTATTTAGTGGTAACATATCACTTCTGTTTTCCTGAGACCACAGCATGACAGGAGCAGGATCAGGCCCAATTTGCCCCACAGATTCAATTCAGACTATGTTCATGACATTGTGACAGTGGCAGACAGGATTTAAAGTGTTACAAGCTGCAAGGAATTGTCTTTCCTCCCCTTGCAGCACTCCAGCCTGCTCAGGTTTTCCCTCAGAGCCAAGCATCCCTCTGCTAAGTCATACTCCAGGTAGCAGCACGATTCCCCTGGGACACACTCCTGGCTATGAAGTCCCCTCTGTAGCATCTCCAGGGCTGGTCTTTGAGCCCGACAGCTGCAGGACTCCCACTTCCATCTGGTGGGAACCACTCCCTGACGTTAGCCAGAGCCTCTCAGGAGAAATGCTTCTTGGTAAAGTTAAGTAACTCCTTCCCTGCAGTGCTTGCAATGCAGCACTGCAGCAGGGCCCGAAGCCCAGGATGCAGGGCTCTCGTGCTTGGCTTGGGCTGCAACGTGCCTGGGGAGTTGTTAGCACAGGCATGTGTGGGAGAATAAACCAGCAACTGAGGCAGCTGCAGAGAGATGCAAATCTGAAGCTGAGGGCAGGGTATCCAAGTTAAGGTGTCAGTGGAGCTGAGGCTTGCAGCTTTGGGAAGAGCTGTGTCCCCTGGTTTTGCTTGTCAGAGAGCCCAGAGAAAGCTTTGTGGGAGGGTGGGATCCCTTCAGAAGCTGAGGTCTGGGAAGGGGGAGGACATTGCTTTGCTGGGGTTTGTTGCATCTTGGCCATACCGTGTCACACGAATAGGACAGATTCCTGGTGGGATGGGGAGTGTGGCTGCATCCCTGTGCCCCCTGCAAAAGAGTCATTTGGGCACATCTGACCCAGCCCAGTGCACAGGGGTGCAGTGCCCATCCCCTGCATGGGACCCCAGGAGCTTTCAGGCTTCCCCTCAGTTCTCACAGCCTGTACCTGCTTCTCAGTGCATTTCTCCCTGCTAACAGGGAGGCAAGGAGCAGGAGAGCTGTGTGCTGCAGTTTGAAGGTCATCTGTCAGCTCCAGCAGGAGCTGAAGCTCTCTGCAAGGCTGGCATGAGGGGCTGCTCCTCTGGAGGTCTGCGAGGAGCTGCTGGGATGGGGTCTGGGGGGGTGGCAGGCATCTAGGAGAGCCCTGCTAATTAGTGCTCCAGCTCCCTGCTTGAAGAACAGAGAGCTTGGCTTTCCTTTGGGCTCCAGGCCCCCTCTCCTGCTTTAAGGAGCTGTAAGCTTTGTGGATAATATGCAAATCAGGGCTTTCATTTTCATATTTTATTCATGGTGATATTATGGTTCCCTTTGAGCCTGCTGCCTCTGTGGTTGCCAGCCAGTGCCTGCCTCTCCTCCAGGAGCTGCTCCCCAGTCTCTGCCAAGCTGTCCCGGGGCTGAGAACAGGGGTGTTTGCTCCTGCCATGGCAGCCTGCCCTGCCAAAGGGATAAGGGCTAACAAACCCCTCCCTGGGCTCTGGGAGCTGGTCCCCATGGGAGGAGGATGCCACGGGTAGAGCTGATGCTCCAGGCTGAGCTGCCAGGGGTGCAGAAGTGGTTCCTTGCACCATTCTCCCCCCTGTCCCACCTGCCCCGAGGGGACACACCTGCAGCAGGGCCCAGCAGCAGGCTGGGCTGCCCTGTGGCCCTGGGCAGGATGGGGCTGCAGCAGGCTGTGCTGTGTCCTGGCTGTGGCCTCACTCTCTCCCCTCTCCCAGGTTTGCATGCCTTGGCCATCGCCTTCGCCTTGGAGGTGTCGGTGGGGAAGACCAACACTGTGACGGCCCTCAATAACTCTGATGTCCTGCTGCCCTGCACCTTCACCACCTGCATAGGCTTTCAGGACCTGATCTTCACGTGGTATTTCAACTCGACAGAGATGGTGGGTGGCTTCCTGAGCTTTGCCTCAGTTTTTCTGGCAGGTCCTTTTGTACTTTTCCCAGTACAGGCCAGCACTGCAGTTCTCACGGAGCTCCCGTGCTCCTCTTGCAGGATGCCCTGTCTTTGAGTGTCTCCAGCTCTGGAGGGCAGGGGCTGTGCAGACAGGGTGTGTCAAACACCCTGGCACATCTGTGCTTGCAGCACTAAGCTGTTCTGGGTTTTCTGCTGCACACGGGCTCTTTTCATAAATAGGCTTGTCCAGGTGCAGCGCTGCACTCTGGGCAAAATGCAGCTGATTTTCTCCTCCTGCACTTGCTCTGAAATACTCAAGGTCTAGATTTGCTTCCTGCTGGGAATATTCTGCTCTTCAGCTCCATAGCAGGGGGGCTGGCTCAGGGCAGCGTGGCCCTAGAGCAAAGGGACTCTCTGTGCCCTGGGCTTCTTCCATCTTCTGTGTGGCCTGTAACTTCTCTGCAGAACAAGTTGGGCTGATCTGTTGCTTCTCCTCTGGGCATGTGTCAAGTTCCCCTCTGTGGCCATTCCTGCTTTGAGGGGGGGTGTGGGGACCCTTGGCCATGTGTGGCTGTGAGTGCAGAGGTGGGGCAGGGAGAGCTTGAGCCTTTCCCTCCTCTGGGGCTGTCGGGATCTGACCCTGCTTCTTCAGATCTTCTCTGGCAAGATAAAGAGCAAAGCCTCAGATCCCGTCCTCACGAAAATAAACCCGCGGGTTGAATTTTTGGGCTCGACAACCGGGAAGGACAACAACATCTCCATCATCCTGAGGAACGTGGAGTTCAGCGATGCTGGGAAATACACCTGCCACGTCAAGAACCCCAAGGAGAAGAACGCCCAGCACAATGCCACCATCTTCCTCACAGTGGTCCACAAGAGTAAGTGCTGCTCGGGGCCCCTGTGCCCTGTGTGTGGCACTGGGGCCATGGGGATGCAAACCCTTGCTGGCACCACCTCGGCTTGTGGCTGTGCTGGTGTATGGAGGGGTCCTGGTCTCCTGGAGGTAGTTGACATCCCTGGAGGGCAAGGCTGGGCCTTGTGTCCCTCTGCACTGGGGGCCAGTGGCTGAAGGAGGGGGTCTCTGCTTTCCTGGGGGGCCCATGCAGCCAGGAGCCCCCTGCTCCCCTCCTGGGTCCCTCAGCACCTTTTCTTCTGCAGTGGTGGAGACAGACAACACTGTGACGTTCATCATCGTGGGCGTCGTGGGGGGACTCATCGGCCTCCTCATCCTCTTCATGCTCATCAAGAGGGTTGTCCTGTTCATCATCAAGAAGACCCAGGATGGGAAGTGAGTGTGGGGCAGGGCTGCACGGGGCTGGGGTGGTGGCAGGGGGGCAGGGGGGCTGTCAGCTGGCCGTGTGCTCTCCCTCAGGAAGGAGTGTCTCGTGAGCTCGTCGGGCAATGACAACACCGAGAACGGCTTGGCCGGCTCCAAGGCAGAACAAAAAGCTCCACCAAAGGCATGAAGCAGCATCTCCCTGGCCCGCCCGGCAGCGGGAGGGTGGGCAGGGGGACCAGCCTTTCCCTCTTGTTTTCTTTCCAAACTGCCAATGCTTGAGACCTGTTTCTATTTACCCACGTGCCTGCAACCTTGCACTGCTTCTCAGAAAAGACTTCGGCTGCCACGGGGACTGGGAGCTTCTTGTGGACTCAGACTGGGATGTCACCAGGACAGGGGGATCCTCCTGCTCTGCTCTGAGCAAAGGCAAGAGGGTGCCTGGGAGGCAGGGAAGGGGCTGGGTGCTGGGGAGCACCCTGCTCTGTGGGTGCTGTGCTGCTCTGGGGTAGGGGGGTGGCCAGGGGCCCTGGTGTCTCTGGAGGGTAGAAGCTGTGAGGAGCTTGGGGCATCTTTCTGTCTCTGGTGATGCTGAGCTGGGGAAGGCAGGATCTACTTGGTGTAGAAGGTTCTGGAGCAGAGCAGGGATGCACGTAGAGGTGGAGGCTCGTGCCTTCATCACCTTCTTATGGGTCTGGCACAGGAGGAAGAGGGGAGGCAGGGCTGCTGCCACAGGGCTTGGCTCCAGCTCTCCTACTAAGCACATCAGAGAACCAAATCAGTGAAAGGCCCGTTGCTACCAGGGCTGTCATCTCATCCCAGCTGGGCTGGGTGCCATGCTCCCGTGGGGAAAGCTGGTCCCAAGGAGCTCCAGTTCCTCCTGTGGCAGGGCTGGGAGGACCAGTGGCCAGGAGCATGTGCTGGCCGTGGTGGGAGCATGGCAGGGTGAAGCTCCGTTTCACCCTTGCTTTGCCCTGCATCCCCTGTCAGCTTTCTTGGGAGACCTTCCCTGGGTTTGTGCTGCTGCTCGTGCTCCTCCTCCCCTCTGTTTAAAGCTGGGCACTGGGAGCAGCCCTGCTCTCCAGGCTGCCTCTCCAAGGCTTTGCTCGTTACACAATATTTTTTATATCCGACTCCAGTGGGAAAACGGCTGGTTGCGTTTCCCTTCCACCCACAGCAAGCTGTGGCATCCATCTGCCATGCAGGGAGGGAGCACAGCCCAGCCCTGGCCGAGAGAAGCCAGTCTGGGGCTGTGTCAGCCCACTCCTAGACCTGCCCCTCTGGGTGACCTCGGGCAGGTCGCCCCTCCTCTCCATGCCTCAGTTTCCCCATCTGTAAAATGGGGATAATAATACTGCTCTACCTCACAGGGGTTGTTGTGAGGCTTCCTTGGCTAACATTTGTAAAGCACTTTGAGATCCAGGGATAGGGGGTGCCACAAAAAGCCAGAGGGGGGAACCCATCCCCTTCCCAAGGGCTGTAGCAGGACATGAGATGTGAAGGGAAGGAGCATATCCTACAGCTGAAGTTGACAGTGTCCTTTGCCACGTGAGTTGCTCCCTATTTCTCCTTATTTGTGGGTGTCTGTCAGGGGAGCTGCAGGATGGGCTGCTCCCCCATCCCCACTCGAAATTTGGAATCAAAGCTGAGCTGTGACTGCCCCGGCTGTCGGGGCTTGGACCCCGATGGAGCTGCTGGAGGGGAAGGCAGGGGAGGGTTTGGTGGGAAGGCAGATGAAGAAAGGTTCAGTGCTACCTTCCCTGGAGGCTGATGTGGGAGATGTTGGACCTCACCTGCCTGCTTGTGGGGGGTGGTGGTACAGGGAGCATCTTGCAGCCTTGGTTTGGGGACACCCACCAGAGTGGGGACCTGTGCTTGGGACAGGAGGCAGGTACAGGCACTTTGCTGGCTGCTGGTTAGACAGGCAAGCAGGAGTCAGGTTCCCGGGATCCCAGTCCCCTCTCTGAGGAGCCGTGGGACCCTCAGGCAAATCGCTTGACTCCTCTGTGCTTCAGTTTCCCCATCCGTAAAATGGGGATGGTAAATCTGACCTACCTCACAGGAGGTGTGAGGCTCCCTGCAAGGCTGTGCAAAGTGCTCCGAGATCCCGGGGCACTCTGGAAATGCCAAGTGTTGTTAACATCCATTGTCATGCATGAGAGCCCGGGCAGGAAGGTGAGAGGCCTCCCCGTTGCCCCAAGACCACCCCCCAGGCCCATCCTTGGAGGGGATCTCCCGTGGGAGAGGACAGTGAGGGGAGGAAGGGACTTTTTTAAAGAACTATTTTTAGCTGTCCTAACCTGTTGGCCTTTTTTTAGACGGTATCTGGACACAGCTCCACTTACCACAGGATATGCAATGCTGTACTATGCATGGATTACTCCTCTGGCTTGATGGGAAAAGGCACCATAACCAGTTTTTTGAGACATAACTCTGTACCCGTGTGTGTGTGGTTGCTGCAGGCAGCGCTGGGGCTTGGGGGAGGGCGGGCTGGCTGGGGAGCATGTGCCAGCCCCTGTGGGGTCCCTGCTGTCAGGGCTTTGGGGGCTGCAGGGGCTCTGTGGCAGGTGTGTGCTGGGAGAGACACGGCTGGGTCTCAGCATCTGTCAGGGCATGTAGGAGATACCTGCGAATAAACACAGGGTGTGTGCAACATGCTGTGTGACACCAACAGCACATTTTTGCACCGTAGAGGTTTAGTGAGCTTTGCCTTGAATGAAATAAAGTTTATGTTTACTAGAGAAACTGGCTCTGGTTTGGGTTGCTGTGAGCATCTGCTTGGGCTTGCCATGAGGCTAGAAAGCAGGCTAGAAAGAGCTGACTTAAAGTAATGCCTGATGTCCCTGTTTGTTTACAGTAGTTGGAAGTGAGCTTGTCTGTGTGTGTCCCAGGTCTGTGCAGCACTTTCTTCCTTGTGTGCAGGAGCAGCTTGTTCACAAGAGCCAGCAGGTGAACCCTGCCTGGTGCTGGGAAAGCAGCTCCAGCCTGTGTAGCACAGGGTGTTGTGAAAATCACCCCTGCAAGGAAGAAGGGAAGAGCCTTCCGAGGCTGCATGAAAAAACAAATATTTTCCTTTTAATGGGGATACTCTACAGCACAAACATAATTTATCTCTGTATGACAGTGGTGAGCAAATAGCAGCTTAGCCCCACAGGAGCCTTCCTGCCACAGCAGGGTCAGCACAGGGCAATAAATTAATCTCTGTCCGGAAGGGAGCTTGAGCTGGTTGGATTCCTCCCCGGTATTGGTGGCTGTCACTCCGAGCTGCCCTTGGCTTCCTGGGCTGGGCTCTGTCCTGCTGAGCCTGCCAGCCAGGGCTCGGGAGGCACCGCTCACCTGCCGGGCCTGGAGATCCATTTCCCAGCTGCTGCTGGAGCTGGGACAGCCAAGTGCGTAGGGACAGGGAGGGAGGCTTGGGAAGACGTGGGGGGAGACCTGGCCCGGCAGATCTCAGAGCTCTGACTGGAAGGAGAGAAGAAATAGCAGCTTTGAAAGGGCAGGTGAAACCAGGAGGAGAACAGTCGTGTCCTTAAGGAGCCAGCTGCAGCCTCATCCCTGCAGCCCCATCCCTGGAGTGATGTGTGCTCTGCTGGTGCAGGTCCCCTCTGCGACAAACCACCAAGGGGTTCTGTGCCCTCCCCACCACCCCCAAAACCTGCTGCAGAGGTGTGTGGGGTACAGCACTGACCCTCCGGATAGCTGAGATCCAGTTGAGGTAGGCACGGACGCTGGTGTAGACCCCGGGTGTGCTGGGGGTCCCGCAGCCCTGTCCCCAGCTGACGATGCCCACCACCTGCCAGCGCTCGCCCGAGTACATCAGGGGCCCACCGCTGTCCCCCTGCGGAGGACAAACCACCTGAGATGGGGCTGAGGAGCACCCAGCATGGTGGGTGCTGGTGCTCACGGCGTGCGGCCGTTTCCCGGCACGAGCCTTGCCCCGCGAGGGGCTGTGTCCTTGAGAGGAGCAGCCCCGAGTCCCCACACCTGGCAGGTGTCCACCCCGCCTTGGGGCAGCCCAGCACACAGCATCTTCTGGGTGACCTCCCCGTGGTAGGCAGCCAGGTTGCAGCTCTCCTTGTCGATGAGTTCCACCTCTGCCTGCTGCAGGGTCTCGGACAGTTTGCCTGCACAGAATGTGGCCGCTCAGGGGGTCCCTCCAGCAGCCCTGGGTGAGCAAGGAGCCCACCGCCCCACCTCCTCACCATGCTCCGTGTAGCCCCAGCCGATCACCCACAGGGGTGTGCCAGGCACCAGCTCCTCATCGAAATAGGGCAGGCAGATGGGCTTGGTGCTGTCTGGAGGGGAGAGGTGAGGTGTGGGAGGTGGCTGGGGGAAGGTGGCCATGCCCGGCTCCCCGCAGCTCCCTCGGCACCGCTGCCCGGTGAGCTTTGCCCCGGTGGGCTCCAGCTCGAGGGGCGTGTGGCCGCGCCTCACCTGAGACGCGCAGGGGAGACTGCAGCTTCACCAGGGCGATGTCGTTGTCCCTGGGAGACGCCTGCATCTCCTCGGCCACGAAGATCTTCTCCACAGCCAGGCTGGCGCTGCCCGCGAGGAGGCTGGAGCCCGCCCTCCCCCGCCCGCTCCTC